AACTAAAACTAACCTGGCTAAGCAGATTCTCGTCAGTTGGGAGCTTGAGGTCATCCTTAGTGTTGCCGTTCTCAGTCAACAAGCTCACCTGAAGAATTTTTTCCAATCAAAGGTTTATTATTATGAACTGACACCAAATGAGAACAAAAATAAAAATCAGATAAATATATAGCAAGAACATACAAATCCATCCTCGGATATATCAATGAGCTGGTAGTCAGTGCGATTGACGTGAGGAACCTATCATTCAATAAAAATGAGATTTATGAGGTAAAAGCCATTAGAACCCAAACAGAGAGGGGGGAAAAAATGTCAGTACTGAATATGAAGAAGATGAGACGAGAAGTTCAAAGGGAAGGAAAAAAACTACATACGTCACAGTTGTGGGAAGATGGAACAATATCTTCAAGCTTCTTTCCAGTAAATATGTCAATGGCAACAAAGTGGCACTTTGCATGACCGTGCTTTCCAGTTTTGGAGGTCGAAACTTCCACAACCTATTAACAATTTAACTCGTGTATAGTAATTCCAGGTGACAATAATAGCCTATATAGGTAACTTTCCATAATTACATCAAACTCATCTACATCTTACTAGGCATTAGCAAATTTATCATGAAATGAATGTTTAAGGCCCACTAATCTACCTTTCTGCAATCAATTCGTCATACTACTAGACTACGGCCCCATTTTCATCTCAATCACCTTTTTCTTCAATTTAGCACAGTTCAGAAGATTGTGTGACATTCACAAACACATCAACTAGCAACATTTCAGATGAAGGAATAACTACGTGCAGTATCAACTATCAACTTTGCGGCTCATCACAAAGATGCACTCTGATTCAGATAAAAAAACTCTCTATTCAGGTTCACACATACCTTCTTCAAGCTAGCTCCCGATGGAACTCAAGCACAATAACAACACCAGTTTACAGCATAACTATAACCAATAAAGTCGGTGAGTTTAAGAACAAGGGTCATCTCAGAATCCACCAAATTAGCAGCTCAAGTCACACAATAAGAGACAGACAAATTGAGAAACAAAACCCCAACCACAGCAAACAGCACAGCAATCATAAATATAACAAGCCCTAACAACAGAACTCAAGCAGAAACGCAACACCAGTTTTACATGTCAAAAATCGAACGAAAATAACTATAACCAATAAAGTCGGCGAATTTAAGAAAAGGGTCGTCTTAGAATCCACAAAATTAGCAGCTCGCGTCACACTACGACAGACAAACAAACTGAGATGAGAAATCAAACATGCCCTAACCAGAGAACAGCAAAACAAACACGCAGGTCGATTGAAAACCCAGATGCAAAATCAACGGGAAATTAACCTTGCAAGGGCGGCTCTTGATAACAATGTGACCGTTCTTGCGGATAGTCCCGGCCTGCTGTGGGTAGGTCTTGGAAGCGCCGGCGTCGGCCTTCGACTCGAAGTGATGCTCCTCGTCAGACATCTTCGGGCAGGAAACTAACGGCGAACAAGAAAAGGAATGAAAATGCGGCCGAGCGGTAGCTTGAGGAGAGCCGAGGCTGGGTGGCCGAGGGAGGAAGGCCGAGTTTATCTATAAAGGGTTTGTGGAATTTGGGGGAAGGAGAATTTAGGGTTTTAAGAAAAAGGCAAATGGATAAGAATGGTTCTGGCCGTGGGATTGCCGTTGCTATGGAGATTCGACGGATGGGATTAATTGCGAGTTTCTGAATCAAGCGACGCTGTTTTTTTTTTTTTCAAAGGATAAATTCAATTAAATTAAACTAAAAAAGAGTTCAACATGTAACAACTACTTATAAAAATCATTTAACTGTCAAATATAATTATTTAATTATATTGATATGTGATGTGTGAGATTAATTGATAAATATTATTTACTTATATTCATAAAAAGTAAGAAAATTGAGTTGTGTTGAAATTGAATTAAATCATGATCGTTAAAACCAGGGGCGGAGCCACCCATGGGCTAGGGTGGGCTCCAGCTCCAAGTAAAAAAAAGAAAAACAAAAAATTTAACTTTACCTTATGAAATATTTTGTACTGAGCCCTACCCAGATTTTATAGCTAGCCCCTATCAAAGTTCTCAATAGCCCACAAACAGACCCAAAATTTAGAAAACAAACTCATTTAATATTAAGTCCATTGATTTTAGTAGGCCCAACTAGTTATAAAACCATCTAATTTATACGTAGTCCACCAAAATTAGCCCAATACATCATCATCATCAAATTATCACCTCCAAACCCCAACGCAAGCAGCTTCAGCCTTCAAGCTCCCGACCACTCGCCGCATCAATTTCGTCGGCCACCTTCCACCTCTGCCCGTATTCGCCGCCAACACCTTCCCGCAGCTCGCCTCCCCTCCCAAGGGCTGCAGCAACTTCTAAGGCTGAAGGCTCCAAGCTTGGATTTAAGGTATGTGTTTTATTCTATTTTATTTTATTTTTTTACAATGCTAATTGATCATTACATGTGTAGTTTGAAATAAATAATTTTATTGTCTACATCATTAATATTTGTGTTATAATGTCCATGATTTGGTTTGTGAAGAAAAAACTTGAAATATAATAGTTTTAATTTATGCACACCACTTGTTTGATAAAAATACTAAGAAAAACTTGGAGGAATTAATTTACTCAAGATATTTATTTTTTGTTTTGGTTTTTATATTGTTGTAATTCAAAGAGATAAGTTACAGTGTAGACTCCATTTTATAGAGATTTGGTACATAGCTTGAGCAATCAGAAATTCATAATTAAAGATATTTCAAAGAAATTGGTAACTATATATTGTTAACATGTGTTGTTCAATCTAGTGTTTGTGTGATTTAGCCTTCTTAAAATTTCTTAGCATTGAGAGTGAATTAATTACAAGCTCGACTAGCCTTTAAGACGTATGCAAACATGATTCAATTATGCACTGGCGGGGTTGGAGGGCCCTGAACCGAACATATGCACAAGCCAGTTTATTGGTTGTCGGTTCTTGACCATCCGGTTCATTAAAAAAATTAAAAAATAATTAAATAATAATAATTGTTTTTTAAAGGCCGAACCTTCGATTTCAATTCCATTTTGAAACCGAAACAGTCGGTTTCGAAATGTATGAACTATAAAATATTTACTAGCCAAGATCACGGGCCGGTTTGTGCTGTTCGGGCTGAACCGGCGGACCGGCCCGGCCCATGACTGTGTGTTCTCGGTTCCAATAATAGGTACAATAGTATGCAGCCCCGGGTTAAATTTTTTTCTGGCTACGCCCCTGGTTAAAACCAGTTATAACTCATATTAAAATCTGACTCACATCTCACGACTGATGTCTGATATGGTATTAACTTATTTCCATATGCTTCTCGTCAATAATTAAAGGTTAAAAAAACTGAAAATTATAAATTAATTAAAAAACAAATGTCATTCCAAGACGAACTCACCTGACAACTGGAACTTTGTATCTGGGCCAAACTAAAAAACCCAGTTAAGTTGTGGGCTTTAATTTTATGATAGAAATATCTTACAAATGGGCTTCTATCCGAAGGTTTGTTGTGGTATATTGGCTTCATTCCGTTCTTAAAAATGATAAAAGCACCGGAGCTAACCTCCACGCTACCGGAGCTCACTCCTCCGTTCATCCTCGGTCCACAGACACCGCCGGAAAGACGAACTTGGTTTCACAGTTGGAGCTCCGAAGAGGTGGTTTGATTTGATTTGTTGATATTTTGAAGAGGTTTGCGATTTTTTTTTTATTTGCTGGAGTTTTCTGTAATTTGTATGAAATGAGATGCGTTTGATTCAATACTTCAATTTCTGCTTCTGAGTTTCAATAATTATTCTATTTTATGCATCGTCTGTGATAAAAAGTATTATCCATAGCAAGGTTTGACCCAATTTTCTGAATGTTGCCTCATCCCTACTATTCAAATTGTATATCATTGATGCAAGTTTTTTTCCGGCCATTGTTGTTGCTTGCTTTTTTCTGCATTTTCTTATTTCATACCCTTTAACCTATTGCTTGAGAGATAGGGTTTCAAGGACCCCATATTAATGAATTATTTTTTTAATGGTTTTCAGTGTAGATTTCCTTCCGGTTATGGGTTATTCCACCCTCAATTTCTTTTCTCAGTCCACCCCTAGTTGCACGCTCGAGTGTAAAATTCCGTTCACCGGACACAATTCGGTATGTAATAGTTTTGCCTTTCAGAACTATAAATGTCGAAGACCCAATCCATACCGATTTCTGATTTTTGGAAGCATAAACGAGTGTGGGGTTAGTGGAAATGCGGTAAAAGAGATAGAGAGCTCGACAGTAAAATTTGATAAAAAAGTTCCCGAGTTGACCGAGGAACAAATGCTGGCTATATCCCAACTTTCTTCCAAGATGTCGAATAGATGCAAGGCTTTGATGAGAAAAATAATTTGTCTTTCGGGCGAAAATGGTAATGTTGATAATATGTTGGCTGCTTGGGTGAAGAGCACAAATCCAAGAAGAGCGGATTGGCTTTCTATTCTCAAAGAACTGGAGAGGACGAGTCATCCGTTGTATTTCGAGGTCCGGTATTTCTTTTTACTTTCCCTTCAAATTTTCCATTTAATTTTTTGCTCTAGGTTGATTGAATCGTGTGTTTTTGTATGTTTTTTCTTATTGATTTGCTTTTGTTATATAAGTTGGCCAAATCATCTTTTGTGATGTGATAGTTTTGGTATTAAACTATGTTTGGTAAAACTAGATGCTTATAAGTGATTTTCGAGCTTATAGCTTATAGCTTATAACTTATAGTTGAAAAGTTAGTTTATATGATAAAAGTGTTTGGTAAAATTAGGTCATAAGCTAGCTGAAAATAAAATTTCAACGAGCTTATTTGAAAAGCTACCAAAGCTCATGAGATAAGCTCGAGCTTTTTAAAAAAACTCGTCATACCAAACAAAACTTATTTGAATACAAGAAATTTATAAGCTAACCAAATAAGCTATGAGCTAGCTTATTTGGTTACCAAACACAGCCTTAGCATGTGTGCATCGTATTCTTTATTTTTTTTTCCTGATTGATTGCGTAATGCTTCACGAGAAAATAACATAGTTCTGTTCTTTTTCCTTTCATTATTTTTTGGATTAGTCGTGTGAATTTGGATTGACAAGTTGCCAATTTACTGTGCAATAGGAACTTTTTAATAGCAATTCTGGATAGAAATGTACCCTATAGATTTCCAAGTTTAGTGTGTAACAACTCAAAAAGTGTCTTTTTGAAGATAATTTTACTTTAGTGCGCGCTTTTCGTTGTTAAAAATCGCCAGGTGTTTGAATGCGCCTTCACACAAGACTCGTTCGAGCCCAACATCCGCGACTACACCAAGATAATCCACGCGTACGCGAAGCAAAACATGCTGCGAAAAGCCGAAAACGCCCTCTCATCCATGAAGAACAAAGGTTTTTTATTCGACCAAGTAATCCTAACAGCCTTAGTCCACATGTACAGCAAATCGGGCGACCTCGAACGAGCCGAACAATCGTTCGAGGACATGAAAATGCTCGGCGTCCCATTAGACAGAAGGTCTTACGGGTCAATGATCATGGCCTACATTCGGGCCGGGAAATTGGGCTCTGGAGAGAGCCTGCTTAGGGAAATGGAGGCCCAAGATGTTTACGCGGGCCGTGAAGTTTACAAAGCCCTCTTGAGGGCGTACTCTATGTTGGGTGACAGCTGTGGGGCCCAGAGAGTGTTTGACGCGATCCAGCTGGCGGGTACAATCCCGGACGCTAGGGTTTGTGGGCTTTTGATAAATGCTTATTTGGTTTCGGGCCTGAACAGAGAGGCCCGTGTTGCGTTTGAGAACATGAGGAAATCGGGCCTGGCGCCGAATGATAGGTGCGTGGGCTTGGTGCTGGCGGCTTTTGAGAAGGAGAATAGATTGAATGAGGCTTTGAGTTTGCTGGTCGAGTTGGAGAGGGAAGGGTTCGTGCTCGGGGAAGAGTCTTTGAGATTGGTTATGGATTGGTTTAAGAAGATTGGTATTGAGGAGAAGGTTGAGGATGTGTTGAGGGATTTTGTCCCGAGGACAACGTGAAAAGTATTGGCATAATGTACTTTATGCAATATTTCATGCGAATTGCAAAGAATGGTGTTGTTCAATTTTGTTCACGATGTCTTTCGGTGAAACTAACGAAATCTAGACTCGAGTAATTGAATGAATATGATGGATAGTATTGTTTTAGGTAACTGACTTTTAGTAAGAACACAAGAATTTGTGATGCACTTGTTTGCTGGGTTGACCTGTCGTAATTTTGGAATAAAAAAGTATTATTTATCCTATCAAACTCCATATTTTTATTTATATTGTATTTTGCAATGAACATTGTACTAAAAGTCAGGCTTGACGTATGCTTAGGTTGCACCTGGGCGCCTGGGCTACGTGACACTCAAGCGGTTGCAAAATTAGTCACGCCTAGACTAATTAGACGGTCTAGACTAATTTTTCTATTGTCACGCTTAAACGCAAAGATTAAAATGTGAAAAATAAATTATTTAAAACATTCTAATATATTTGAAATTATAAATGAATATCAGATAAAAATATATTAATTAAAGTTTATAAAATATAAAAGTAACAAAAATACAAATTAATAAGTTTGATAGTTAGAAATATATTAAGTGAATAAATGATATTTTTATTGGTGAATTTATAATAATCATTACTTAATATTTTGAATATTAGTTATGTTAGTGAGGTGGTTATGAAAAAATAAAATAAAAAAGAATATTTTTCTAATTTTTTTGTTTCATTTATTTTTAATGTAATAAATCTTAATAGATAATAAAAATATAGAACCAATTCCATTTCAAGTCTTAATCCAGCCCAGGCTTCTAAACGAGTCGTGCCGAGCTCGAGCCCTTAGAGCACTCACAATGTTTTAGGTCTCTTAACAAAAAATCACATGTTATGTAGGAAATATACTTAGTCTATAAAAAAGTGTTTCACAATGCAATTAAAAGTGAATCTAGTCTAGCTTATGTGGCAATAAAAAGAAGAGATTAAGCCCACTCTTGGGTCTATTTTGGACTCAAGTGTGAACCTGTACAATCAGCAATCATTACTATTATTATATTTTTATTGGTTGTTAGGTATTCTAGACCTATTATAGATTTAAGTGTATTTATTTGCCACATATGCAAAAAGAGACCCAAAGCATTGTGAGTGCTCTTAACGAGCCGATCTCGAGATTTAACGAATTGAAATATGAAAAAATATATAATTTTTTTTTTCGAGTCTTAACAAGCTTTATCAAGTCAAAAGAAACTCGACTTGTTAACCAAACAAGTTTTAAATGAGTTCGAGCTTGGCTCGTTTTTTATTTTTTCTTTCTTCATCACGCATAAGAAAGAAAGAGCAAGACACTCGTTTAATTTAATATCCAGCCAAAGCACTTTGGAGAGACACATGGCATCATTAACTTTCAGAGATTTAGAGCATCTCCAATGGAAAATGATCCATTTTGTATTGTATGGCATGGAGAATGAAAACTAAAAAATTATGTTTCCAATGGTTGATGTTAATTGTGGTATCATTTGTGATGTGTAAAATTTTAATTGGTTGAAGAAAATAAATAAATTAAATAAATATGCTAATATACAATGGAAGTTCTCTAAAAATATTTCTACATCTAAAAAGCCTTCTAATTTTTTTTCAAACCACATAAGATTATTTCAACTGTTATTTACCGCCCCCCTTTTACTTGTCACCGCCCCCCCCCC